TTATCACTTCTAAATTTTTCCCGTTAATAATGTGTAATTTTTCAGAAAATTTTATCAAGCTTTTATCTCGTTCTTTTTATTATATCTTTATGTTCTTTGGTAATGCATGTTTTTGTCAAATACAACCATGTTCTTTGTCAAATACATGTATGTTCTTTATGAAACACATGATGTTCTTTCCGCCTTTTTTTTATTTATCTGGGTGTATGATGAGCACTGTACACCCGTGTGTATAAACCACGTATTAAAATAAAATAATCTTATAATTTGACACAAGACATCGAAACATTTGAAAGTTTTCTCTTCTTCGTTAATTCACGCAATTTATTCGTTATTCTTTGTTGAAGATGAGTCCACTTGATGAGATTACGGCTAGTATGCCTTCTATCCACCACTCTCTTCTATAATTTTTTCTCAATTTTTTTTATGAATTTCCTCTAACTTTAATGTTACGTGTTATTGTCTTAAAATTTTAATTATTTTAGAAGCTGAAGGTGACACAAAAGAAGTGGCAAATTTAAAGATACGCCTTGTTATATGTTTCTTTTACCAGGTATTAACAATAATTTCTCTTTTTTTAATCTTGAACATTAATCCCATTTTAATCTTGAATATTAAAATAACCATCACCAACATTATACAAAGTATATACTTTCGGATCAATGACATCATAACAGACAACGAACCATATCATGACATATCTGTTGGAACAATAAGTGTGTAGTGTGTGAATTTTGTGAAAAAACTCAAAGTCCCACATTGGTGGGAAATGAGAGTTTTACTCTCTTTATAATATAGAGAGTGGGCTAAAGGGGTGTGGCCCTTGGGCTACCCACATTTTGTGGGGAGGGAGGACCTATATGGTAAACCATCTATCACACGCGCGCCGAACCGAGCCGGGTCGGGTTTATTAAATAAACTTATTTTTTGGACAAGGCTAATTGCGTGATTAGTTCCTTGATTTTTGCTAAACGTTTTTGACTGATTACATTTGACCGTTTTTTCAAAACTGATTTGAACGTTCAACTTATGACCGTTTTCATTGCGTGATTAGTGCCTAATTAAACAGCAGCAGTTACGTTGCAATTTTGCCTATAAAAGGCGTGTTGATTTCCTGTTTTTAATACACAAAAAAATACAGAAAGCAATCTTCTTCTCCTCTCTATTTTTCCTCACAAAAACAAAACCCTCGAGCAGTTTCTTTTCTTTTTGGTGTTTAGTTGCCCGGTGGTTTTGTGCAGTTCCACCGGTATAATTACAATAGAGAAAGGCTGTTTTATCCTGGGGAACATCCGGTTTAGTACGAACTGCTTGCACATTTTCAGGGCAGTGCCGTGAATGTTCTAAAGAAAGCGACATAGTCCGCGACTCAGTCTAATTTTCGGTAACTTTGTTCTTACTGTTTTTGTTCCCGCAGTTCCGTTTATAACAATATCTCGGTATAATAATTTCATTGGTTGGTAAGGAGAAGGACCCTAACGAATTAGAACCTCTCACATGGCGTCTCGACCTATGTGTACGCCTAAACACTTTGAAAGTGGGGGAAAGGGTAAGGAAATTTCCATCCCCAAAGTGTCCCCATTGGGGTTTGATGCTTTGGTGTATAAATATTTGTTTGACCCTGCCAAAGTTTTGAAGTATAAAAAATACTGTATATACATCTATTTATTTATTTGTGTCAACTATGGTCATTGTTTTCTTACATGAATCTCATTCTGGTTGTCTTGCAGATGGTGCTTCTAGCAGCGAGTACTGCATTTGTTTTCAAATTAATGATACGATATGATTTTGGTTTATCTGTGTTTTTACTTTTTCCCATTACTGTCGGTTTTTATGCTCTCCATCTTGGAGAAATAGGTCAGTATGCTCAACTTAATTTTGTGACATGTTTATATGCAATATGATTTATTATGAATAATTTATGAAAATTTTACGGTAGTCGTTTAAACTATAACTAATATTTTTCATTTATCAAAATTTTAATTTCATTTATCTATTTTTTTATTTTATAGTTTCTCGAAATATAAATATTTATTTTATGTTGGATTTAAATTTTCAAGTATATATTTGTATTGTAGAGATTTGAAAACTAATTGTGTTTATATTATATATAATGTAAAGTAGCCATATTTCAAACGACCATCGTAAAACATGTATTTAATTTAATTGATTGTTTAATTCCTGTTTTAAAGGTCGTAGTCTAAACCAAACAGATACCTTGAAGTCGTACTTGATCCGGTCATATATAGCCATGTTCCTTCTTTTAGCAATGAGGATACATACTCTATTGGTGGTAAGATTAGTTAATTTTCTTCTATTATCCAATAAGGGTGTGTTTTCTTCACTTTATTTTTGATCTCAAATAATTAACTAAGCTCAACATCGTATTTCTTACCTTACCATTTTCCAGGATTTTGAAAACGGGGTTGTGCAGTACTCTTTGACAGACCCTCTACTAATCAGGCAATTTCATGCTATGATCCATGGTATGTTTTTTTATACATCTTTCCCTACCCTTGTTAGTTGTCACACTTTATACCAAGACAATTATCCTTAATACTTGCTTTTTTAAATGATGCAGAAATAGCGTCGCCAATTGTTGCAATAATAATCACATTACCCCTGATTCGAAGCTTGTCTTCTTCGTCTTCTAGTCGATCTATGTAATCAAGAAAAAGTAATTTTGTTTTTAGAACAAAAGAAAAGTAATTAGTTCTAGTGAGTATTATGTGTTGGAAAATTTGCTCTTATTCTTATGTAACGAGTACTTGTGACTTTTTTGGTACTCAATTTATAATTAGTTGGCTTTATTCTTACATTTATTTTTAATTTTACCATTTTTCCATAATAAGAAAAACTACTAGTAAATAAGATTTATGAATCGACCAAACCTCTTTTATCCAAAGGCCTTTCTAAACTATAAGCTGTTAATTGTCTGTTTTTTTAGCAGTCTTTTCTTTATTATTGTTGTAGTCAATTTAGAAATTGACCAAATTATTGTTGGATTTTTTTTTAATTTTTATTTATTTATTTTTTTTTTATTTTTTTTTTTGTAATTCAAGAATTTCTTTACTGAATTGAAAGTTGTTTGATTTCTGCAAATTATAACATATATAGCAGATGGGTCTAATTTTTTCTAATTAAAATTTCTGCCAAAGTGAACCAAATTAAAGAAAGATGATAACGCTTAAGCAATACATCCAGCTACTTGAACCAATAGCTATATATCAGTATATCCCTATATCAGTTTAATATGTTAACGGATTAGAAGTACAAATTAAAATCATGTATTTACAAATACGGAGTATAATTTTAATTTCATAATGCATGTATTTACAAAAATTATGAAAAATACAAATTAGAAGATGATAAAACCACATTACATTCAAGCTCATACATTGATCAAACTACAAGTAATCCATTCTATTGTTTCAATTGTTAATTTTGTGCTCATAAGCAACTTCTAATATTCCAACTAATCAGGGATACACGAAAGCCATGAGTAGACATTAAAATTGGGTATCTACTTACAAAATGAAGAAATTAATTGTTCTCTGCTCTTTCTCAAGCAATTCCCTGCATACCAACTGGGTAAAAAGTTAAAATATTCACTTCTTAGGGATTTCATCTCATTGACTCCTACTTTCGAGTGTAGCAATTATAGCAATCAGTTGTATGAAATTTTTAAACAAAATTGTATGTACCAAAAACACGCATACATGAATGTAACATTTTCCTCATTACTGGAGCATTCAAGATTACAGAAAAAGTCACCAATAAGTTAACATATCCCTCTCCTAAATGTTTCAACAAAAAAAATTGGCTAAGATCAACAGAGTCCAAACTAGGACCATCAGATTACAGAAACAGATTTCATGTATTTCTTTACTTGATCCAGTTTGGGTAATTCAGCAAGAACCATCAGTTTCATTCCTCAGCTCAGGTTTTGACCTAATTGAAGAATTAGAATATGTCGGAATGGTCTGATGGTCTGGTCCCGGTCTATTACTATGGGAGATGAGGGTAGAACGTAGAAGCGAAAAGGACAAAACACAAAAGTATACTTTCCTCTGATGTATGAACTCTACTATGTACACATACATTTTCCTCTGATACATGAACTCTACTATGTACAAAGTACAAACTAAAAACTATGATATCCTTTTAAATTGTATTGTTTGTTAGTAATGACTGTAATCCATTAAATACCTATGCCTATAAGGGCTATAACCAACCAAAAGCTGAGTAAGTTTCTGTCTCTTATACTTGTACATTGACTGCCCTTACTAAAAGCTTTCTCCTGATATAAGCACCAGACATATTTGGATCGTAGTCTGAGAAAGACTATCCATTAATCACAACATGAGGTGCTATAACAATTTGTAGCACCATTCAAATCCGAGATAAATGCCAAAGCTAAAGGCAACCACAATAGCATAGCATATTCAAACAACAGTATCAAACAACTTGTATCTACTAGCACATTGGGATCAACCAAATACTTAAATTTCAGCAGCACAAAAGCAGATTAGTGTAGTATGCTAGGAATGAAAGGTAACAGACAAGTCAATTAATCAATTAAGGTAACAGACTAACAGACATACTAAAATGCTATGGTCTTTTATTGCTTGTAAGCAAATAGCAAAAATATCATATTGACATTGAGAATCGTCATTTAACGAAAAGTTACCCGCTTGAAGTGTACATATCTGGCAAGAACCAGGTAGGGGGTGGCCATAGCGCTCTAGTGATGGTACCACAAACTCATTCATACTATGTCTATCCTCCATTCTAAAATAGAAAACACCAATGGGAAGATTTACACTTGCTTCTTTAAACAGCTGGAGACTGTGCAGCAGAGGCTCAGCAGAGGATTCAAAGCAATTTTGTGAGAAAATAAGGTAATCCCCATTCATTTCATACCATTTCAACTCATTTAGAAAATAAGAGTATTTCGGCTTATATGAAAACACATTCACTGCTGGCTCTCCTCGAAATAGATACTCGCGTATATTAAGCTCTTGAGCACAGACAATAAAGCACCAATGTAGACTAACAAAAAGTGACCAACCTCGCAAACTTGTTTCCATCACCGATTCCTTATGCAACTCACCCACACGGTATACCTTAAATTGATTCTTTTCCAACATAGAATTCTTATCATCATCACCATTACAAGACCTATTAAGTTACTAACCAGAGTTTCCCCTCATTTGCCACCAATCTTTTCCGATTCCATGAATCAGGACCGGGCAATTTCACAGTAACCGTCTTATTAACCTTCAATGTTTTGTAATCAACAGAATGCAAGTTACAAGTAAAATCAACAGCACAAACCCTTCCCTTAAAACTAATCACATCAGAAAATCTAGTAATCAAACTACCGCTAACAAAGCCCCAATTCCCATTTCTCAACCTCACCCCAATTAGTATACTAACTAATCAGTTGTTTTATCTCAGTAGGATCACCCCATTCAAACTCACACAAATTTAATCAAACAACACATTTGCAAAAAGTAAAATTTTGAATTCAACAACAGATGTAACTTGTAAAAGGGTATATATTCCACTGAAGATTGATTTATTACAAAAAAAAAAATGAATACACTAAAGATTGATTTAATCTACTTATTACAAAGAAAGAATTCTCTGCCAGATTATACAACTTCAAAGCTAAATTTACAAAATAGCAAAACAATGAATACACTAAAGATTGATTTAATCGACTTATTAAGAATTCTCTGCCAGAATATACAACTTCAATACTAAATTTACAAACTAGCTAAACAATGAAAACAGTAGTGTTTGCTTCTCCGATCCAGAAAATACAACATATCAACATCAGCAAGAACAACATTCAAATCTTGCAAAATTGACAGAAACCCAGTAATCCAGTATCAAGCCCGTACCTGCCGCCAATTGCACCAAGCCCACCACACGAAACCCCCAAAAGCTGAAAACGCGAAGAACATCATCATTGAAAACAAGTCAAAGAAGCAATACTCCAAAACAGGGTTATCATCCATAATCATGAACAGAACAATCAAGAGAAAAAGGTGAAAGAGCCATGCTAAGGTAGCTCGAACGGAAGTAGAGACCATCAGCGGCGACGGGATTTCTCCGAGCTTATTTTCCGACGAGGGGTCCTGACCCAGAAAATTTTCCGGCGAGGATGAATCATTCCCGAAAGCATCATAGTCAAGAATAGCCCCGATACCGTGAACGGAAACGGCAGAGCTTTGAAAGAGGTCGGGATGAGTGATTAGGGCATCATTGACGGAGAAATTGCCGGCGGAATTGTTGGTAATAAGCAGAGTTTTTCCGGGGAGAAGAGTTGGAAGGCGAGTTCCAATTGGACACTGCCGGAGCTCGGAGAAAGTAAAGCGGCGGTGAACAATGTGGTATGAAATGAGGAGAGGGTCGGTGGAAGTGGCCGGAGAAGTAGAGTTTCCGGCAAGAAAAGCGCCGTCAACTGGGACGAAGAGGGTGGCTGTAAGAGGGAAAATGGAGGGGTCAGCCGCTGCTAGAAGTTCAACCCAGTTGCTGAAATCTCCAGCTCCGACGATTGAATCTCTGATTGAGTTGAGCTGGGTTGTTTCTTGGATGACTGAGACCGACGGAAGAGGCGGCAGTGATGGTAATGGTGACGGCGATGATGTTTCGAAGGTTGTGAAGTTCGTTGCAATGGAGGAAGTTACAGTGCTGGAGAAGTTGAGCAAGAGGAGGAGAGAGAAAATGAAGAAGGAAGCCATTGATGAAGAGTAAGCTTTTCTTGGGTTTCTGAGAGAAACTTCCAATTGAGTGGAATTAATGTCAAAACGCAGAATATTTGGGGATTTATTGGATTGACTTACCTTAAGGGTATATATAGTCAATACAGATGGGTGTGGTTTCGACAAATCGACAGTGGGAGTAGGATTCTGGACTCGTGGAGCCCATATGGGTGGGGATTTTAGGCTCGGTGGGTTGGGGTTGGGCTTTGGGATGGCGGAAGGGTGGGGCGGGGATTTCGGAATGGTGTTGCCGTGGAGGGTCGGATGATGAGGGTTTCGAGTTGGGCAAGCGGTGGCCAATGGGATGGGGTGGAGCCGTAGGGGATTAGTATGAGAGGGTTTTGTTTTGTGGAATGCTAAATACCGCCATAAAAAATGATCACCATTACCAACAATTGGTGTATAGACAATCATGCCCTTACTATTTCACCACCCCTTATCTCCCCGGCAACCCATTACCCCTTCTAACTAGCAACGACCACTACCACTTTGACCGACGACCCACCACATCCCCTTGATTAATGGTTGATACTTAAGAAACCTAGCAAAACCCGCTACCCATTTATAAACTCTGTTAATTTTAATTTCTACAACTAGATAGTACAATATTGAACTAGCCATTTTAATTACAAATAGCATGTACAAAAAGAAAACAAGATAATAAGAAGCATAATTTCAAGACCTTAAACGGAAAAATCAATCATATAAATAGTACATAAAACTAAAACTTTTAGCCAGGTAGGATTTATTTGAATATATTTTATGAATAAAAAAAAAGTTGGATAAATTTAGATAAATTTTTTAGGATAAAAAAGTTAGTTTATAATTTTATTTTCAATATATGATAAAAATGTTGCTTTAAAGTTTTATTTTCAATAAAATGTCAATATTTCATATGTACAAATTAAATCATAGTTTTATTCAAAAATATACTTCGTATTAGATTATCAATAACTATCATATAAATTTATTTTTTATATCATAATTTTTAAACAAAGGAAATAGTTCAAAACATATACTTCGTAACATTCATGTACAATGTATTCTAAGGGTCGGTTCACATTTACTTAATTTCAGTTCTATTCAACTCCAATCAGTGCAGTTCACCTCCTTCTCTCATAAAATATTCGTCTCAGCTTAGTTCAGTTTAACTCCAATCAATTCAGTTCACTTTAGCTCAGTTTAGTAAATGTGATTAAGTGAACATACCTTAATTAATTGAAATAAAATACTTCACAATCTAATATGATGTGTTAGTGTACTGTATGTAAACCAGTAAATTAGGTCTGGTCATGGGTCAAGAAATGCACAAACCTTGCCTAAAGTTTAGGGTTTGGGTCAATATTATCTATTTTTGACTAATTTTTAGAAATTTCTAATATTTGAAGCTGACTTTGCTAAAAAAAATTGTAATTTTTTTAATCAAACATTCTCATCAAAATAATAATACGGAGTAATAATAAACAAGTGCTACATAAGGAAAAAAAATTTAGTGCTAATTTGCTAAAACATTACATGAGTACTAGACTACTATACATAATTTAAATTTGGCATGTATGAAGTTTATGTTAAAATTCAAAATAGACATCGTTTAGGTACAAATTAAAATTAGTTTACTAATAATAATAATAAAAATAATAATAAAACAAGTCTACATAATAAGACTAATATTATATTTCCTCAAAAAAAAAAATACTGTATTATATGGAGTATCTTTGAACAGAAATCCCAAAGTTTATCTTCTTTCTATAAAAAAAAAAAATTTAAGCGTTTTGCCACAAGTTGAGTTGTTTCCAAAAAACTGTAGTAGTACAAAGTACAATACAATTAGGATTCCTGTCAAAAGAAAATAAGGATTATATATATATACATAAATAATCTCGTAGAATTTGACACAAGATATCGAAAGATTTGAAAGTTTTCTCTTCTTCGTTATTTCACGCAATTTATTCGTTATTCTTTGTTGAAGATGAGTCCACTTGATGAGATTTCGGCTAGTATGCCTTCTATCCACCACTCTCTTCTATAATTTTTTTCTCAATTTTGCTTATGAATTTGTTCTAACTTTAATGTTACGTGTTAAAATTTTAATTATTTTAGAAGCCGAAGGTGACACAAAAGAAGTGGCAAATTTGAGGATATGCCTTGTTATATGGTTCTATTTCCAGGTATCAACATTAATCTCTCTCTCTTTTTTTTTAATCTTGAAACCTTTCACCAACATTATACAAAGTACATACTTTCGGGTCATTGGATGACATCATAACAGACAACGAACCATATCATGACATACCTGTATATAATAATTTTTTTGGTTAGTAAAGAAAAGGGCCTAATGAGTTGGAACCTCTCACATGGTGTCCCGACTTATTGACCATTGGAGTTTGATGCTTGGTGTATAATAATTTGTTTGACCGTGCAAAAGTTTTGAAGTATAAAAATACTGTATATACATCTATTTATTTATTTGTGTCAACTATGGTCATTGTTTTCTTACATGAATCTCATTCTGGCTGTCTTGCAGATGGTGCTTCTAGCAGCGAGTACTGCATTTGTTTTCAAATTAATGATACGATACGATTTTGGTTTATCTGTGTTTTTACTTTTTCCCATTACTATCGGTTTTTATGCTCTCCATCTTGGAGAAATAGGTCAGTATGCTCAACTTAATTTTGTGACATGTTTATATGCAATATGATTTATTATGAATAATTTATGAAAATTTTACGGTAGTCGTTTAAACTATAAACTAATATTTTTCATTTATCAAAATTTTAATTTCATTTATGTATTTTTTTTTTATTTCATAGCTTCTCAAAATATAAATATTTATTTTATGTTAGGATTTAAATTTTCAAGATATATATATATTTGTATTGTAGACATTTGAAAACTAATTGTGACCATAATATTATAATGTAAAGTAGTCATATTTCAAACGACCACGGTAAAACATCTATTTAATTTAGTTGGTTGTTTAATTCTTGTTTTGAAGGTCGTATTCTAAACGAAACAGATTCCTTGAAGTCGTACTTGATCGGGTCATATATAACCATGTTCCTTCTTTTAGCAATGAGGATACATACTCTATTGGCGGTAAGATTAATTTTCTTCTATTATCCAGTAATGGTGTGTTTTCTTCACTTTATTTATGATCTCAAATAACTAAGCTCAACATTGTATTTCTTACCTTACCATTTTTCAGGATTTTGAAAACGGGGTTGTGCAGTACTCTTTGACAGACCATCAACTAATCAGGCAATTTATTGCTATGATCCATGGTATGGTTTTTTATACATCTTTCCCTTCCCTGGTTAGTTGTCACACGTTATACCAAGACGATTATCCTTAATACTTGTTTCTTTAAATGATACAGAAATAGCGGCGCCAATTGTTGCAACAATAATCACATTACCCCTGATTCGCAGCTTGTCTTCTTCGTCTTCTAGTCGATCTATGTTATCAAGAAAAAGTAAATTTATTTTTAGAACAAAAGAAAAGTAATTAGTTTTAGTGGGTATTATGTTTTGGAAAATTTGCTCTTATTCTTATGTAACCGTACTTGTGACTTTTTTGGTACTCAATTTATAATTAGTTGGCTTTATTCTTACATTTATTTTTAATTTTACCATTTTTCCATAAGAAAAACTACTAGTAAATAAGATTTATGAATCGACCAAACCTCCAAATTAAAGTCCAATGGCCTAACATAGCAAAGAAAAACAAAATGCGAAATGTAAATCGAAGGTCACAACTCACGAGGATAACCTTACATTCAATGGCATAGATGTAATATAAATAACAGGAGTAAAGTGAGAGTTCGGGATAGTTCAAGTGGTTAGAACTTAGAACTTTAGGAGATTAAATCAAAACCTCATTATTTTGGATGTTGACAAACCTCATCTCAAAAAGAAGCGTTTACGTGTTTTTTTCAAAATTTGAGCACAAAATAGCTCTCAAAATCTTTAACGGAATAATTTTCAATACGCAAATCGATAAAAAAATATTATTAAGTAGAGAGTAGGCCCTACTAATGGAATTTTAACAGCGGGATAAATAAATATTATCAAGCCATTGCCCAGTGAACAAAAAGTACACCAATAAATTTGCCAAAGAACTTTAAAGTAAAGATGATACATGTATGTAGCTCAAGAGATTAATTCGTATACGAATTCCTCATTGAAAATTTACAAAAAGTTAAATAACACTTTTATAAATCATGCTAATATTAGTGGCAAGGTTAAACATTCACAACAACTTCAAACGCCACTCACACTCAGAGAAAACAAATCACCTCAGTCACATTTGACTGTCACCCATGTAAAATATATATCATGCTAGACGTTTATTCAGCAAGTAGCAAATACATATGCATTCGATACTATCATATCTTGGAGTTGAAGAATTGAGTGTTTACTCACTACTCACTCTGATCAAGTTTGAACTTCAAGGCCGAGACAAATCTGGATAGAACCATGCTGAAGGTGGCCATAATATGTCAGAATATCCAGAAAAGGCTGATATTGGCTTAGCATCACCATCCTCAAAGTGATATACGGTAACTCTCAACTCCTTCCTAGCTCCATTGATAATAGGCTCGCTATATGCTCTTCCCTCACCATACAAGGGGAAGGAATCATCTAAGAACAATATGCAATTTCCTCTAAAACCCGGAAAATCAGCTACTGATGCAAAGAGGCAACAATCAACACCCACAAAAAGTATTCTACCATCTCCAATGCCAACAATTTGATCCAATTTACAATTAACTTCATCCAGCATATAGACTTTAAAATGCACCTTTTCACCACAATAGATAACCCTCTCAATTACATACAACACCCCAGAAGAATCCACCACCAATCGCTTCCTCCTATCGCTGTCACACCCACTAGAAATCATATCATTCGCGATACATTCCATCTTCAATGTCTGTTGAAAATGCACCCCTTTTGCCCATTCTAAATCATAATGGACAACATAAACTCTCCCCATTCGATCAATAGCATAAACCAGCCCCTTAAAATTCACAATGTCATCAAATTTCGAGGTTCCCTTAAAAGCTAGAAACCCCCAATCTGATCTCCTCGACAACCTCACCCACCCAACACGACCATGTTCAAACCAAACCAAAGCAGTGTAATCCATAATAGACAAAGGCTCAAAACAAGCAGGATTTCCAAACAAAACCAATTTATAATCATAACTCAACCTACCACCATTCAAACGCTCCATACCCGATGATCTTAAACGGTACCCATTACCAATAACAGAGATATGAAAATCAGACAAATTCAAAGAACTGGGAATTTGAACATTTGCTGGAAAATTACCAGAAGCTCTAATTCTAGATAAAGGGAGTTGAATACAGAGCTTACCTCGGCGAAATTCTTCGACAGTAAGAAGCCAAGGTTTAGTAGATTCTGGAATGTTCCGAGGTCGGATCAAACACACAGCGTAGGCGATCAGATGGTGGAGGTTCCCACTAGATATAGTAGAGAAGAAGTCGGAATCAAAGGCCCAGAATCTGTGAGGGAAAAGAGGAGAGAGAAAAGGGAGATTTCGCGGGATTTTAGAGAGAGAATCATGCCAATTCTTGCAAGCTGCTCTGAAATTGTAGACGTTGGTTCTTGTTTCGAGACGATAGGCGATTTCTAAGAGGAGTTCAGGGCAAAGCTCCGACCAATTGGATTTCTGGGGTTCCATTTTTGTACCAAAAATAAAGAGGGAGCCCCAGTTAATCTCCGAGATTAACACTCCAAGTTAATCTCCTCTCACAATTTTATGCATTTGTTTTCGTGCCACTTTACTATTTCACTTTTATTATTTTAAAAATAAAAGTAAAACAATATATTGTGAGAGGAGATTAACTTTTCATGTTAATCTCAGAGATTAACTTGAATTCTCTCAAAAATAAAACCCTAGAAAATTAAATTGGGGGTTTTGATTGAAACTAAATGAAGGTGCTTTTTTCTAACGACACCGTTTAGTCCAAGTGGTTCAGCTGCCTTTGTTGACTAAGCTGTTGACTCCGGTTAAACTTTTTTGTTGACTTAGCTTTTGACTCCGTTTGACTCAGCTGACTAGCACTCCACTTTCTCATACGAGCATTATGTATCTGACTTGTTGTCTTCAACTTATTTCAAATATATTTATTACTTATTTCTTAATAAATTCATATCAGAAAAAACTAGAAAGATTAAGATCAAATCTTAAAAAATTCAAACTAAATCTACTTGTTTCAGGTAAAGAGAACAAGTCCATAATCTCATATAAACATATGATGTATTGCGCCAAAGTAAACTAGACAAGTTCCAATGTCGATGAATTTTGTAGTTAATAAGGCAGGATCTTTACCAATTGGATAGAATTGTATCTAACGACAGACAAGACAGTGGACGATGGTGACCGAAATTCAATCGAGTGGCCTGGATGTAATTCTATAGGCGCACTTGGCCTTTCCCATTTATTAGAAGTTTCTTTCGATACTCTAGAATCTAGATAGTGATACACTTCTATAGTTCTATTGGCTCTACACCTCTTTCCACTTTTCTTCATCCTTGTCCTTGCAATAGATACCTCCAACGCTATCAAGTTCACAAATCCTGCCCTTAAAATTCACTACATCCTCAATACGACTAACATCATCATCGTAAGTTCTTGATATAGCCCCCTTTTTATGCCTCAAATCAGCTAGGCAGCTAGCTAGATTTCCATCATTATACAATACGATAGCGGATAGCAGTACAGCCATCACCTTCGTTGCAAATAGGATCCTCAAAGAAAACCCCACTTTGCTACAATTGCCATACTGTTTATTATCTCCGGGAAAACATCAATGGGCCGGGGTTGCAACTTGCAAGCATACTTGAGTGTACAATTGTATAAACCTTACTACTTCTCGAAACTTAGAAACATCTAGATACTTAAGAATATCATGGAGCAACCCTCAAATAGCAATACAAGAAAGGGGCTGTCAGAGCTTACCTTTGTTATACTCCTCAGCAGTCAACACTACACAACCACAGAGGGGGATTCAATTCGCTTAAAATAAATACTAATAGTAATAATATAAAGGGAGATTCAATACCACAACCGATCAAACCAGAAAAACAGGAGCAGCTATGAGCTTCGAGATATTGCTTTTTAAACATCTGGGAGCAGGCATATGGACAGAGAATTTGAAGGGTATGAAAGAAGATAATATGTATTTTGGAATAGATACTGTGCTTTAAAGGCTGCTCAAAATCGAATGACGTCTTCTCTTTTTTCAACAGATATATAAATTGTGACTAAAGTTCTTGGTGTTAGTGAAAGAATTCTCCCATCTATTCTACTGCATGAGCACACCATCAGTAGATACCAGAACCAAAACCCCTTGCAGTAAGTCAGTAATCCACTTCTTAAAGTCCACAAAAATTTGAAGCCATACCACTAGTCAAAGTGAACCAGCTAGGCTAGCACAGTTTGTCCATCAACCAAAACTTCAATCCCAATTCCCAAGGGCCTACTGTCAGTCACAACAGTAGCAATGGCACCAATCCACAGCCATTAATAGACTTCCTAGTTTTTATAAGTGATTAAAAGAAGGTAACTGACTTATACAACTAAACAATAAAGACAATATAATAGTAGTCCCAGATATACTACTCATCTTTTCCCTTTCCTTTTTCATCTAAACACCTTCACAGTGCAAGGCAGAGCTTGAACAATAATGTTGAGCTTGGCCTGAGTGCAAACTTCTAATTACAGGAATATGACCACATATGCAGAGATGAAAGCATGCCCGACGAATATGCAGAGATGAGTATGTTATATATTGTGCATATGAAGTAATTTCTTTCCTCAACTTTCTGACAAATTCACACTATAACAATGAATTTTAAATCTTCAAAGTAATTAAATTAGCCCACTAACTAACCTGCAAATTTACCTAATGCTAGCTAAATTAGCCCAGAGTTCCTCAATAGCCAATTCAACCATCCAAAATAAACCCCAGCAAGGGCAGCAACCAAGTTTTCACAGAATCGATCATCAAATAAAAATGAGACAGGTAAAGAAACTGAGCACGATAATCTCTAAAATGAAATGAAACTAATATGCATACTATTGACCTTCTAGTTGCTTTAGAGTCCTTGGCCAAATCAGTATAGTACTCATCCTTGATTCTTTATAGCACCACCAACAAATTCTTGAATGATTTTCTTAACTTGACTTGCTAAGCTACTACTGATGTGCTTATTCGATGAACATAAGCTGATTGGCTCCTAAGATCGTAAGGCTCCAAAATGTGCAAGGACAAGGCTAATAAAGCAAATTTCTAATGTGATTGAAAAGAGATCACAATTAAAAGATAAGAAAACAAAGCGCCTTAATGAACCACCAGGATTGAACTGATTAAGCACCTTTGCTTCTTAATTGTCTATTACCTCTATGTTAGGCAAGCTTACAAGAACTTTTGTGACCATAACTTTACTCAAAAACTAAAGGTGATTTAATCATGCATGTAATTCCATAGCTTTTAGCTATTGTTCTTCCAAAAACTGATTAATTACTTGTTTAGAGTGTGCCCTTGATTGTGAATAATGTAAATACTGCTGATTTTGGGGCCTTGTTGGTGTTGTTACTTCTCTAATGTTTGGCTATTATACAGGGGTGATAATCGTGTAAGCATGCATTATGTTCAATATATTGAGTCAAATAACTTATCTACTCAAAATAAAATGTTTATTTTCCATTAAACTATTGGAAACATTCATACTCCTACTACACTAAAACACACTACAAAGCATTCAATATTTCAATTAGCATATACCTTAATTTTTACATAAACAGAACCAACATCCCCTTAAACCCAAGTACCCAACACCCTATTGAAATCTTAATTACACTCTTCCAGCAGTGAAGTGTAGGCTGACATCAACACCTATACAAAACAGGTTCTCCAATGTATCATGTCCGCGAATAGTTCGACTTTGTGATATATCAGCTACTGATTCAAGACTAGTTTAATTCTCAGTAATGTTTGCTTGGCATGCATATCAAACCATACTAATTGATCTGTTGAATCACTTCTTTTTTATCACCACATTCAAACTCACACAGAAAGTGACCAAACAATACATTTGCAACAAAGTAAATTGTGAATTCCACAACAGATGAAACTCGAAAATAGGTGTATATTCCTCTTCAAAGTCGTAACAAACATGCACAAGCAACAACAACGTTGCCTCTGAGATGCTAAAGATTGATATCATCTACTTACAAGAATTGATACCCTGCTAGATTATGAACAATTAACCCTCAAACACAATAAGAACTAATACTCTGCTAGATTATGAACAATTAACCCTCAAGCACAACACCTAGACAATGTCAACAACACTAGAATTTACAAGCTACATATTATCCAACAACTCAGAAATAAGCTTCTGCAACAAAAATTGAGTATGTTATCCAACTCAGTAGCAGGAAATACATAATAGGAAGCACAATTGTCAGAGCTTGCCAAGCAGTAGTATCACAGCAAACGTACACAGAATCAAAGCCCAATATACCTGTAGGTTCCTGGCAGCCGAGCTCGCCACGTTCTTCGGTGACCCAACCACCGGTCCTCTTCTGTCCTGTTCGAACTCCGGCAACGGAGGCGACGGGACTCCTCCGAGCATATTTTCCGGCGAGGGGTTTCGACCCAGAAAATTTTCCGGCGAGGAAAAATCATCCCCGGAAGTATTATAGTCAAGAACAGTCCCAATACCGTGAACAGAAACGACAGAGCTCTGAAAGAGATCGGGATGAGTAAGTAGCGCACCATTGACGGAGAAATTGCCGGCGGAATTGTTGGTAATGAGGATGGTTTTTCCGGGGAGAAGAGTTGGAAGGCGAGCTCCATTCGGGAACTGCCGGAGCTCGGTGAATGTAAAGCGACGGGGAACAATGTGGTAATAAAAGAGAAGAGGGTTGAAGGAAGAGGCCGGAGAAGTTGAGTTTCCGGCAAGAAAAGCGCCGTCTTCTGGGATGAAGAGGGTGGCTGTGAGAGGGAAAATGGAGGGGTCAGCTTGAGAAAGAAGTTTAGCCCAGTTGCTGAAATCTCCAGCTCCGACGATTGAGTCGATGATCGAGTTGAATTGCAGTTGTTGCGGTGTTTCTTGGACTTGCGCCGGCGGTGGTCGTGCTATGACTGAGAGCGACGGAAGAGGCGGTGGTGATGATGGTGGAGACGGTGATGGGGTTGGGGCGATGTTGAAGGTGGTGAAGTTGATTTCAATGGCGGAAGTTACAGTAGTGGAGAAGTTGAGGAGGAAGAGGAGAGAGAGAATGAAGAAGGAAGCCATTGAAGACGAAGAAGCTTTTCTTGGGTTTCTTGAAGAAACTTCCAGTTATGATTTATGAAGTATTTCTGTTGTTGGGGAGAAAAATGAATGTGCAACGCAGAGTTTTTGGGATTTATTACTTTTTATACGTAGTAATTTGATTAATGAGATGAATTTTTTTTACTACCTCCGTTAACCATTATCAACTTTTACTAAAAATGGACGCTAAAAATTATGTGCAACATTTCCAAACCTTTCCATATTTAGTAAAAAAAATTAACAAAATTACAAAAATACCCTTACTTAAAACTTTATAAGATCAATTACATTCTTAAAAACATAATTAATCAATTACTAATCTAACCTAATTAATCTAACTACTCATATTAAATTTAATTCATCTCCCCCAATAACTCATTAAAATCAACCAAACTAGTTCAAAATCATCCAATTTCTCCACATTCATACCCTAATTTTTCACCCAATTCATCTTTCCCATTTCCTTTCTCCCTCCTCCTTCAAAGTCAATCAGATCTGGTATCACCAAGAAGAAGGTGACGAAGAAGATCTGGTATTCGGTGGGTGTGGCGGTTTCTTTGGTGGTTTTGGGTTCGAATTGGGGTGGATCGTAATTCTAGGTTCGAGTTGTGGGTTTCGTTTCAGGTGGGTTGGTCGTTTTTGGTGGGTGGTCGTTCTTCGTGGGTGGTTTTCGTAGGTGGGTGGTTTTCGCAGGTGGTTTTCGTAGGTGGGTTTTCGTAGGTGGGTTTTCGCAGGTCGTTCTCGGTGGGTGGTTTTCGTGGGTGGGTTTTCGTAGGTGGGTTTTGGTGGTTCCGTCAGTGGGTTTGGAGGGTGGTCGTCCATCTGGGAAAAGGTGTGTGTTCGTGGAGGTGGTGGTTCTGTCGGTGGGTTTCGGTGGCTGAGGTGCTAGATTGTTCTTTCAATTTTTTTTTTTTTGATTAACTATTAATGACATACCCTTACTTTGTGTTAAACACCATTAAGAAGTTTTGCATTGGAGTCCGTTCCTCACCCCAAAGTTGCAGATAATGGTTAACGGAGGAAGTATAAATCTAGTAATTGATGATCCATGCTATCCGGATTAACCCGACTCAACACGATCGTTTTGAACTTTTTTGTTTAAAAAAGTAAAATAGCTCGGGTATTTTATTAAATTAAAATGATTTTCATCGAAGACAAGATATCCAATTACAATTCGATTATTTGTTGACCCAAAACTCGAATTAACCTGGCTTGAGCTCGACCAAATCCGAACAAACCGTTTGACAAGTGTAGAGAGGCTATTAGGAGAGGTTTTTTTTTATAAGATTAAAATCAATATTTTAAAAAAGAAAATTGTAACAAAAAAATTAAATTAGTTCAACAATCATAAGAAACATAATGCGATACATGTCACAATTAACTACTTCGTAATCAAATATGTTACCAATCAATCGCGTTCTATTTTGAGCTGATGACCTCCAAAAATGGTCATATAGTATTATTATGAGATACTCCCTCCGTCCCTAAATTACATTCATACTTTTAGCATTTATTCCTCACATAATAGAGAGAAGTAGGAATGTAATTTTGGAACGAGGGTAATTAAAATTTCATTTTATTTTTAAACAAATAAACAATGTCATATTGTTCTTAAATAAATTTCCTTATTTGTTTACAGACTCATTTAGATTAATCATATTCTTAATTTCTATATTTTCTTAAGGTTTTCGTGAAATTTGACTTGAAACCGTTGAAAATGGTTTGTTGAGGCCGAGGTTTGTTGTGGGCCGAAACCTCCAAAATTTCTCAAAAAGCATGGATATTAGCCTTCAATTTTGGAATTTTTTGATTTTTTTTCACAAGGAAATAAAAATTCCTGAAATGTTTACTATGGTCCTTAATACCCTCCGATCCGGGAGTCCAATTGGTTAGTTGGAACCATCCAATTTGCCTTTAAACGGCCAATTTACCAGTTTACAACTTGCACTGATCGTTCTTGAGTTCAACATATCCTTCTTTGACGCTTTTGTTTCTGAGAACTCAACTTCCAGCGATCCTCTTCTCCTCATCCCCGATTCCAAGGGAACATGCCCTGCTTCGACTCCCCTCCCAACGACAGTTGTGTCTCGCCTCCAAGCAACCGAAGTTTCGATGGCCAACCGACGCGATGGTCTGGTTATGGTATTGTTGATTCTATTGCTCACAATAGCGCTGGATTATCTGGAACTCCCTATGCTGTCACTAGTGGCTATTACTTGTGGGTTCTACTTTATTTTTTTATGGGTATTGAGCTTCATTCTTGTAAAAAATGGAAGTTACTTTGACTACTTCTCTTACATTGTGATTTTATTTCATGTTGAAAGGATTGTGATTCTTGACTTTCATAGCTTGTGTTTCGTTTGAAAATTTTGGTGATGGTGGCATTACACTTTATCCAGACAATAATGTAGTTTGTAATCTACAGTTGTATACCCATTAGTCTTGCTCGTACTTGTTCGTTTATGTTTGATTTTTTCTCTTCTCAAATCTTGGTTTTGATTTGACTAGATTTTGTCCATTATTATTGTGTAAGTCTCAATTTTGCATGAATTTTGAGTCTCAATCTAGTGTTTCTTCTGTTTAACTATCCAAAATAAGTATGAATCCAACTGTTCCAAATTATATAAAAAAAAAACTTTACAATTATTTTCATCTTTTGTTACTCGGAAAATAAAAAATGTTTTTCAATATGAGAAACCGGGAAAACCCTATTCATAGATGTTACACTTTTTTTGACAGGATTCATAAATGTTATCTTAGCACAACATTATTAACATTGAAAAAAAAAAATTTGTAAAAAAAATACTCGTAACGAATTTCATAATTCATAACAGAATTCGGTGAAATCTCCGACACCGAAAAGCATTCATGCTATTTACTCCACCCACTTACAGTCCGTCGTAAGACAAGTCAGGCTTTCTCATTTGGCACTACTCCTTGTGCCCACGTAGCACAACCGTTTGTGCTGGTCACATATGTTGCTAGCACGTCCCCTTGGTGCTAACAAGTCCCCTTGGTTGAATTAAGCACTCACCCTTAGTGCCTTAGTCCGAATTTACGACTAAGTGTCGTAGACAATTGAGCACACAAGCTATCACCCTTGCTAGTATGCCCGACCACTCACTTAACACCCTCGTGCCTTAGTTTTCCTCACACTCTTTAAGTGTTTGAAGGAAAGGGTTAAGTTGCAAGAGAACAAAAGTCATTTTGGAAGGCTTTTTGTATTACTCTCAACTTAAATGTACAAATGAGGCCTTGGAGCCTATTTATAGTGCTTCTCCCTACTTACAAGCTTTCTCTAGAATATTCCTAAACTCCTCAAATGGAGGGTTCTAGACTACAACAATCTAGAGAGTTCCCACCTCCTTTGGAACTACATACATGGAGGTTTCTACACACATCCTACATAGAATGCTAAGGACTAGCCTAGAAAATTCTAGAAACTTACATACAAAATGTACATACATAGAAGAACCTAGAAGACTTCTAAGATGTACCAGACCTTCCTTGATTATTCTAGAGTCATCCACTCTCGAATAGTCTTCCAAAGAACCCCGTAGATAGCTCCGGAACCTTCTAGAAGCTCCCCGCGTTTTCCGGACTACCTGCTGCCAAAATTTGTACTTTGGGACCTCGTCTCGGAAAACCGACACCACCATCGTCTTGATTGGCCCAAAATACGATTGACCCCCAAATTTGGGCCCATTTGGACTTCGTTTGGGTCTCCAAAAGACTCATTATTGTGTTACTATCACTCGGGTGTTCATTAGGAAAATACACAAAGTGCTAAATAAAGCTTTTTAGAAGGAAGTGTTTACCTGGGCACCAAGGGCAAGCCCCCTAGCCACGATTATGCGTTGTTGCCTAGTGACCCAAATGACGCCCATGGTTGGCAAGGGAGATGACCCGTAAAAACCTACTGTTCTACTCCGTATTAAGCACACTTGGGGTTTCAGCCATATACACAAGGATAACAAAAATACTGACAAAGTAAGAATGCCTACTATTAAGCATAATCATTGGCCAGAAAGAGGAACAAACATATACTCGTACGACTTCATGATAGCTACAGAGTAGAGAGTAGTGCTGTGGAGAATAGATATAGGAGGTAACTATTCATTAGAAAAAGGCTTGTGTCGCCATTGAGCTCTATGATAAGGCGAGTTAACAACCTTCCAGCCTGATGAAATACTTATATTAAGCAAATAAAGTCCAACAATCAAGAATAAGTAAATTGTTCACTACTCATATGGTCATACCTTATCATAAATATTTAGAGCAGAGTATTTTCCTCCACCTTAACCTATCCGCCCTTTTCAACAAAGTGAAATAATATGGTGGTATAGAATCACTAATAGGAAACCCAACAAGTTAGATTGCTAAATACTAGCTCCAGTTACAAATTACAAATCTCTCTCCGTCACAAACTCACAGGTGTTCAAAAAACGAGTTTTTTTACCAATAAGGTACAAGCCATTTAAAATTAACGGTTAACCGATCCGATCAGATAAGCATTTTTTTTTGCTTTTTTTTCCCTACTTAAATCTATTGATATAAATCTAAACTTTTACTTTACTTCATTATCACTTTATAATATCAAGGATTAGTAATATTATTAATAATTTGGTCAAGATCATATGGTATTGTTTTTAATTAGTTGTAAATTATATCATAATAACTACATAATTAAGTTTAATTATCATTATTGGATATCTTACTGGGTACCCAATAACCGATCCGAAAATCCGGGTACCCGAAATCCGGGTACCCGAACTTATCGGTTCCGGTTATGGGTATCACTTTTAGTAATTTTGGTTATCGGGTACCCGAACCGTTAGTACTAACGGTACGGGTACCCGTCTCATGCTCACCCCTAATTAATGGACACTTGGATAGGGCCCTTATTGGGTAGGGTCAATATAGGGCCATCATGTTTTTCCAATAACCACGTCTAGAGCTCATGTATTCAGCTTGGATTTTATTCAAGGTTTGTTCTGAGCTACTCTGGAGAATAAGCACTGTTGTTGCTAGTGACTCTAAGGACCTAGCTATCAAGTCACCACTCCGTATTGTACTCTCTTCCAGTATGTTACCATATTTTTCCTATATAGTTTGCAGAGTCGTTAAAAGGTTGGACTTGATCTTTACTCCTTTAAACACCTCTGTTGAAGCACACGCATTAAAATCCTGCAACCATGAGAAAAAAAAGTCTATAAATAATGCCCGACATATGACAGGTAATGGAAGCATGGGAATCTAATTAATACTTGAATTCTCAATACAGAAGAATCCCCTAGAGCTGTGTGTATATCTATCCCTGTAATCATTGGTACTGAAGCTGAGCAACAAAAGACAAATATTCATCAAAGATTGTAATTAAATTACCTTATTTAGAATTACACAAAGGATTACCTTTTACAAAATTTGTTGATCCAATACGGGGGGCAACCACAGAAGACGGAGGAAATTCTTCCTTGCTACCAGTTGAAACACCTTGTTCCCAAGAGTTCAATCCTTCACTCTCCTCATCGCCCCTCAACAAACAAGAGAAAAAAAAAAATAGGCTAACTGCTAAAGGTGTCCGGAAAAACAACATACAAACAAAAAGAGCTACCACAGGACACATGACTACATGAGAGGGGGCATTGGACTATTGAAGAATGTCTGTTTTCCACTTACATCAGTTCTGGGGGTTTAAACAAAGCCAAATGTAGATGTTTGCCTCTTTGCCACCTCAACATGTCTCTCAATCACAGACTCCCAATTAAAGCACTAGGCAACATTAATAGTTCTGAAAAATCCACTCATGAAATACAACATAAGGGCATATTAGCAATTTACAAACCCATTTGGAACAAAATCAAAATGTTTTCATACATCAATTCCAACTAATCTCTGCTTAAGGTGAAGGAAACATTTATGTAAATTAAATTACAAAGGCAGTAACATCTATAAAAGCCATAACAATTCAAAAGTCTTGACAATTATACAAAACATGAAGAAATCAACATACTTCAAAAAAATGGACATGTAAGTTACCCGTTAGAAGTGAATGTATCCGGCCAGAACCAGGTTGGGGGCGGCCATAGTGCTTCAGCAATGGTACTACGAATATGATCATGCTCCCTTTTCCCTCACTACTATTGAAATCATAACCAATTAAAAGATTTATGCTTGCATATGGGTCAATTTCGGTTCAAGTCGTAAATCGGTGCAAGTTAATTAAATTGGCTGTTGTAAACCGGTAAATCGATGCAAGTTATAAACCGATAAATTGGTCGTTTAAAAGCAAATGAGATGGTTCCACCCACCTAATTGGACTCCCGGAGGGTATTGGGGACCATGATAAACATTTCGGCAATTTTTATTCCGGGCGAAAAAAAAGTCAATAATTTCCAAAATTGAAGGCTAATGTCCACAGTTTTTGAGAAATTTTGGAGGTTTCGGGGCCGGTGTCTCAAATTCTTGAGATTT